CATATTTCAAAATTTATCTTATTCTACTTTAAACTTTTCATTTCAGGAACCATTTCACGTATAGCGTTAAGTCTCTGTCATTACTTATGTTTCCATGATAACTGATCGTGTTAAATTGCGCGCAGCGTCCATTTCTGAATAAAGCCTATCCAGTTTATTAATGCTTATAAACATCAGATTAAAAAGACCCACAGACATGACAAACCGACACTAAATAATTAGAAATTTTTGAAGATATTTATATCAGTACCACTGATTAACCAATTGTTTCCTTAAAAGAATAACTTTATATGGTGATTGCTGACGTCAACCGATATTCCACTCTTGACTGATCAACTCAACGATGCAAACCGCATTATTAAAGCGAAATGACGGCATTTCTTTAAGAATGACCGGATCATACACACACACACACACACACACACACGCGCTAAAAATACCTGCTGCGTTAAACGTGATTTCATGACAGACAGGAAGAGCCTTGAGATGAACTGTCACTTTTGAAGCATCTAAAAATAATTCAAAATTTAAAGTTAGCAAGATTTTCCCTACCAGCCTGAACAACGTCAAGTTCAATGCCGTTCTTTTCAAACACCCACTGATTGTCCAAAACAACGCTGATCTCAGCAGGCATCAGGTTCAGCTGAATAGGACTAGAAGCACAAGCAGTTTCATATCGGAAAGTAGCTGGCAAAAGTTAATCGATCGAAACAATTACTACATGAGTCGTTGACTCTGTATGGCTGCAGAGTACAGAAATCTCTCGTAGTTGTATTTTTCGTCGCTGGCGTGCTGATCAATGATGAACAGACTGTGTCGAACTTTTCCGATGATGAAACCAAGGTTGAACTGCCCAACCACTTCCATTTCATTGAACGCCTCTTTCCTAAAAAATACTTTATTTTTGCCATTTTTCATACCAGCTATAGCAAATAACGCAGAACCTACTCTTAATGAATGTTTATGGACAAAAGAGAAAACAATCTTCTAATGCTGGGAAGTAAACAGAGAATAGAAAAGTTAAATAATCATCTAATAAGGTGTTACTGAATTTCCCAGGAATTCAATTAGAATTATAAACCTATAAGTGATCGCTACAGCCAAAGATAACAGTAGTTACGAGACAAAAACGAAATTCGCTATCGAAATTTGCTAAACGCCCGCAACTGCCAAACTCGAATGTGTGGTAATGAGCTTCGTTTCTAATGGGCGACCGTCTGATCAGAGGCCAAAGTAACACATAGCACACTAAAAGTGTCATCTACAAATATAAGATCACAGAATCGTGAGTAATGAAAAGTAAAGAATGGACTAAAAACTAATTCATGGGACTTCAATCTGCTGCAAATATGTCCTGAATTTTTCTTCGAACATGCGCATCATGTGGCTATGATGTTACGAGCCATAAAGGGATGTGCAAATGCCTATTCAAATGGTTAGAGCGTAACTCTGAAGAAATTACAACCTTTTATATAAATTTCACCTTCTGAGCGAACTAAAATTTTTGAAAGGACAGAACGAAATGCAAGAAGTGAAAAGAAAGACATAAGAAATGTGAAAATTGGGATCAAATTAAACGACATAATGGCTGAACACCGCATCAAAGAACAGCAAAAATATTTAACAACTTTTCACACTGACTTATTACTGCAGAGGAACTTCGCTGTCTAAAGTCAATGGTGTACTTAATGAAAATTCACGGAAAAAATACACATCGATCCTTTCCGCTACGGCAAAAAGATTGTGACTGGTCAACTACAGCACTGGAAAAGGTTAGAGAGCCTCATGAATCGAAGTCTGATCGGATACACGAGAGAAGAATGTCAGTAAATCTTTTTATATTACCGTTACTTCGTTACTCGAGGAATTTAAAGTTTGCAGTATTCAAACGAGAACAATTCAGCAAACAAACTTAAAACTTGGACAAACGTTACTGCTATTCGAATTAATTATTTCCATCGTTAATTATGAAATGCACAGTATACAAAATTCAGTTTGCTTGGAAGAAAATCTGAAAATTTTAGCCACAAAGTACCTGAAATTTTGTTCTAATTCTTGCACAGCCGCCTCGTTTTGCGAAGGGGCAATCGTAGGATAGTAAAAGTCTGATGGACCTACTTCTTTCGGTGCTGAAACTGCCAAAGGTTCGCAATAGGAAATGAACAAGCTTTACACTCGGTTCTTACTCGAAGCCTTGCACCTTTCAAGTCGTTGTCTCAATTTCTCCAGCGAAAAATTCAACACTGTACATTTTCTACGTATTGGCACCATCATATCCTGTAAATGGAGAGCGCAAACGATAATCATAAGCATGACAATCAACAAACATGCAAATGTTAAACAGCATAGAGACAGACAAAACTGCGCTTAAGGCAAGTAGGAGTAAGACATTTATGAAAGGGATTCTTAAAAACTTATTTACATCGACGCCGACATCTGACCTCCATACGAAATTATTTTGCCGAAATTTATTTCAGAATCGCGGATGCTCTAAGCTCAGACGTGCTGAAATGCCATGGAGCCATGGGCCGCACAAATAGTTCCTAGGCATCCAACTGCAAATGGGCCTCCGAAACTAGATCTGCCATCCTGGTCACAACACTATGGACAAGATCATTATTCTCCGCCAGGTCTGTTAAAGATGCTGAAAATGTAAAAAAGAAGATTCACACATGATCTACAGAAGTGGGAATGGTGTATAGAGAATGTTCTGGTTAAAAACATGGAGAGTATGACGTGGATAAGTACCCAGCCAAAATACACGATCATATGGCAGGACAAAACA